GTGGCTATCCTGAAAAAACCGGGTGCTTTCTCCCTTAATCCTCTCCAACTTCCAGCTCTCTGCCCTCATGCCCTCAATCTGAGCATCCCTGATCAAACCCACCAGTGAGGAACCCACTGCTATCCCAGCTGACTTGCGGCTCAGAGCATCCGCAACCACATTCGCTTCACTAGGATAGTAAAGGATCTCGCAATCATAGTCCTTGACCACATCCAGCCACGTGCGCTGCCTCATCTTCAGGTTCGGCTGATCCATGATATGTCTCAAACTCTTGTGACCCGTGTATGTAGTACAACAGGCCCCTTACAGATAGTGCCTCCAAATCTTGAGAGCGAAGACCACCGCTCCCAACTCAAGATCGTGCGTAGGGTATCTCGTCTCATGCGGCTTCAGCTGTCGCGATGCGTAGGCTATCACTTCTCCCCTCTGCATGAGGACTACCCCTAAGCCTGTGACGGATGCATCACAATGTACCACAAAATCCGCCACTCCCTTAGGGAGTGTTAACACCGGCGCCTCGCATAAACACTACCGGAGGGTCTCAAATGCCCTTTTCTGCTCAGGGCCCAACTGGAAATCCACCCCCTTCCTTGTTAGATGAGTAAGGGGTACGGCTATCTAGGAGTAATCACGAATGAATCTATGATAATACCCTGCTAAACCCAAGAAACTCCTGATGTCTGAAGGAGATTTCGTAGTCTCCCACTTCATTACTGCCTCCACCTTGGCTGGATCGACCAAAATCCATTCCTTGTTAACGAGATGTCCTAGGAACTAGAGCTCTCGTAACCAAAACTTGCATTTCGAGAACTTGGCATACATCCATTCTTACCTCAGAACCCCCAACAGCTCCCTAAGATGCTCCTCATGCTGCTCTCGAGTCTTGGAATACACCAAGATATCATCTATGAACACGATGACTGAGTGATCGAGCATCGGTCTGAAGACTCGGTTCATTAGATCCATGAACACCACTTGCGCGTTGGTGAGGCCAAACGACATCACCACGAACTCATAATGACCATAACGAGTCTGAAACGCGTTCTTCCCCACGTCCTCCTCCCTCACCCTGACCTGGTGATATCCTGATCTCAAAATCAATCTTGGAAAACCAAAACACACCCTGCAGCTGATCAAAAAGATCATCTATCCTCAAGAGTGGATAACGGTTCTTCACCATTAACTTGTTCAGCTCCCTATAGTCAATGCACATCCTGTGCAAACCGTCCTTCTTCCTGACGAAAAGGATCGGTGCTCCCCAAGGTGAACTACTCGGACGAATAAACTGCTTGCCCAGCAGCTCCTACAACTGAGATGATATCTCCTGCATCTCAGGTGGTGCCAGTCGGTACGGTGCCTTGGCGATAGGGGCCGCACCTGGCACTAAGTCGATCTTGAAACTCAGCCTGCCTCTCCAGAGACACTCCGGGTAACTCCTCCGGAAACACATCAGCAAATTCCCTCACCACCGGGACCTCAGAAACTGAGAGATGCTCGCTAACCCACGTATCTGCCACATACGCCAATTAACCGGCACACCCGTGCTGAATATACTGTCGAGCCCTTGCTGCCGAAAAAAACCCTGATCCCAACCTGGTGCCCTCACCATATACTCCAAGCTCTCCCTCACTTGGGGTTCGAACCACCACCTGCTGTCCCTCACAGTCGATCATGGCGCCAAAACGGCCAAGCCAATCCATCCCTACAATCACTCACACATCCCCCATGGGTATAGGAATCAAATCTATTGGGAAGGACACCCTCAAAATCTCTAACTCGCATCCCCGTTAGACCGAAGAAGCAGAAACCCCATGCTCGTTGGCGATCGAAACTCACAACGGACACTCAAGATCATTTATCGGCACACTGAACCCTCTATAGAAGGACTGAGATACAAATGACCGACTCACCCCCGAGTCAAATAATACCAAAGCAGGCAAAGAATTTACTAAGAACGTACCTAATCATAGGTACAATCAATAAGCATAAGACAAATACAATAACTGAGACGGAGAATAGAAAAATACCAGCAACCACATATGCTGCTGACTTGGCCTCCTCGACCGTGAGCTGGAAGGCACGACCCTGAACCTTCGGAGGCTCCACCTTGATTGGCCTCCAATCTCCAATCCTCACATTAGCTGGCGCGGAACCTTGCGCCAGCTTGGCGGCGAGCTTCGGACAGTTGGTCTTCACATGACCAACCTGATGAAAATGGTAACAAATCCTCATATCTATGGGAGGGGTAGACTGACGGCAATCCCTGACATAGTGCCCCTCCTTGCCACATTTGTGGCACCCACCTCCTACTCTACAAGCTCCCGAATGAACCCTATCACACTTTTCACAAGTACGGCTTTGCTGACCCCCAGACCGTGTATCAGCGGTATTAGACTGCTTAGGCGCCAGATGAGACTGTACCAGTGCCTGACATTGCTCCTTCAGCTACAGCTCTATCTCCAACTCACGCCACCTCGCAGCTTCCTGAAGGTCTAGGAAGGTATCACATCGTTGTGTAGACACGAACTATCGAATGTCAGTCTTGAGCATACTCAGATAACGAGACATCTGAGACTGCTCTGAAGCGAACTGCGGGCAAAACATAGCCCTCTCCATGAACATACAGGTTATCTCCATCACAGACTCCCCATCCTGTCTAAATGTCAAAAACTCTTGAGCTAGCCGCTCCCGTTCCATGCGCGGAACATAGCGGGAGCGAAACATATCCCAGAACTGCTCCCAAGTAATAGCCGCCTGCTGATCATCAGAATATGAACCGTCGTCAATCTCCACCAGTCCTTTGCCCTGAGCCTAAGCAGGTTCAGAGCACACCTGACCTTCTGGTCAGTAGGACATGAGCACGTGAAGAAACATCCCTCCACGTCAAACAACCACCGCATAGATCTGATTGCATCATGTGTACCATCAAATGTCGGGGGCTTCGTATTATTGAAGTCCCAGTACTTGAAAGCCCTTTCGGATCCTCCTCCAACCCCTTCTACAGTTACAGTCGAAGTGGCTCCAGCCGCAGCTGTCTCTGCTAGAGCTGCATATCGCTCATCAAAATACTCAACCATCACGGTCTTAATCAAGCCAAACATCTCTGGTAGCTGCGCTCGAAACATAGCAGCAATCTCGTCATGCATGATCTCCCGGATCCTAGCATCCAACTCTTATGTCCCTATCTGAACCACGGGCTCAGGTACTACCGGCACCTCCAACCCTCCGTCTCTCGACCCCGATCCTGATCCTGATCCAGATCCCGAAGCAACACGTCTCGTCACCACCATACTGAAATATATATATATATATATATATATATATATATATATATATATATATATATATATATATATATATATATATATATACACAAGTCATTAGATAACTAACATAAGTCGGGAGACCAAAACCCAAAAACTCTAGGGGTTGTGGCTACCTTGCTATGCGTATGGGTCCTGTGCTTTCAGTAGTACGGGCCCATACTACCTTCCACACCTACCCATATTTGTCTCAAGTATCACCATAACGCCCTAACAATATCATCAACATAGAAATTAACCTAACCCTCACTTCTAGAGGAATATCAAGTATCTCACATCTAATCTCTCCACTCCTCATGATTCATACATCCATGAAACTTCTATCATCTCCTACAGCGTTAGTGCATGCTAGCTACACATAACGTTGGACCCAATAGACTTTCGAATATCCAATCCTACCCGAAGGCCGAATCAACATTCTCAGGCTATAAGGTCTTTATTGTGCACAACCGTGATGTATACACTAAACATCTACAACTATGATGTCAATTCCACATACAAGAAACACTAGGCTAATAGGCATCATGCAATCAGGCAAACCTATCATGTGATTCCTGAAGATCCCTAGCCTAGCACTAACATGCTGTTCTAACATATCAGAATATCAAATAACTGCATGGTATTTTGGAGTTTACTTACAAGCTCCGGGTGATCGTACCCTCTGCATCCTCGATCCTTTATTTTGAAAACCATTTTAAACTAATTTCCGAAAATCTCCTTTGTTTGAGACCGGATTCACATGGGTGTTCCTCCAATTCACTCAAACCAAAGCTCCGATACCAACTTGTAACAACCATATAAATTTTACGTCAAATTTAAACTTTTTCAATCACAAATAAAAACCAAATAGCATTGTTTACAAAATGTTTTCAAATCATTTTCCATCAGAGTGTCCCAAAAATCATAACATAAGGATGTGGAGCGGTACGGTCACGCCTTCGCCTTTCCATGATCTTCTAAAGTACCTGAAACAATAAATTGAAAAATGTAAGCCCAAGGGCTTAGTGAGCTACCCCGAAAATACCAATGCCACACTGGCAATACAATGACAATAATAATCAATCAATTAACATGCATACATGGCCATCGGCCTGACTGGACCGCCCTATCGGGCCTATAGTCTATCTGAATCTATCCCGAGCCTTCGACATGACTGGTCCGCCACGTGGGCCTACAGTCTCCCCGGACCGCTCGTTGGGTATGTTGGCCTTCAGCACAAAGCAGGACCGCCTCAACCCAACCATAAGCAAATAATCATTTGCGCATACTATCATGTACTAGCATATAAAGCATCAACATAATTCTCTCGCTGATCATCAACCATAGAATGTCTCCTGTAACTAGAGTACCGACCTTGCAGGTCACTAACATACCAATCCCTATGGATTATAAGAGCATAACATACTGTCTACCTCGATTCCGAACTAACAGATCATAACCGCATGAAACCACTACAAGAAAAACAGGCTCTTACGACGCGCAAACCATGACACGCGCTGTTATATGATACGCAATAGTGTGTGCCCTAAAAATAATGTCGGATCTCCAAAAATTACAAGGATTTAGGGCACGCATTCTTGCGCGCCCAAAAATAAGTGTCACAATAAAAAAAAAAAACACGGAGGGCACATAACATAAAATGCGCATCCTCTAAGTATGTTGCTTTATATCTTTTAAATGAAACGTGGGGTCACTTCTTTTGGGGGAAACGAAATTTCGAAAAGTTTGAAAGGCCCGTGATGTTATATATTACCTTCTTTCCACCGTTCTTCTCTCCCTAACTCAAATACCCCAAAAAACATTAATATACTTTCCTCTTTTCTCCCACAGCAAACTCGCACCATCACATACCTGTGGAGGAGATCGCTACCGAAAAAAGTGATCTCCTGTTGGTTCCCTCTAAAGAATTCATGTAAGATCTTTACTTTTCTAATTATATAATTCTTTAATTCTAAAAAAATTTGACTTTGAACATTATCATCTATTTGTTCGTTTTTAAGCATGCGAGATGATGTTTATAATTTGGAACATGAAGAACATACATGGTTGAAGATGATGATGTTTTTGACTGAATTGGATGTTAATCTGAAACAAATGATTAAAGATGCCGATTTGTTGTTTATTGAAGAAGCTAATATCGAAGTTTGCTATAAACTGAAAATCAATCAGAAAGTTGAAGTTGTGAAAGTCAAATGTCACAAAGTCAAAATTGGAGTTCGAATATTTCACGGTGAACTTGCTTTTTTAAATCTCATATTTGAGTTCATTTTAATTCCATTTCGACGTTCATGGGCTGTTGAATATTTCTGTCGGAATTCATGGTTAAAAATCAATTTCAATTTTTAAAATCGATATTGAGTTTTTCAATATCGAATGATGGGGCTGAAGGACGTTTAGGTCTTCGATAGCGAGATTTTAATTTTGCTTTTGTGTTGCTGAATTGAGTTCTGGTCACTGCAGGTTGCTTGATATTAGGAGTGGAAATCGATTATATTCTTTGATGAAATTGACGGACTTATCCCTGTGAGATCAAGAAAACAAGAACAGATTCACAACTCCATTGTCTCAACTCTTCTTTCATTAATGGATGGTTTGGATTCAAGGGGACAAGTGGTTTTAATCGGGGCAAAAAACCCGATCGATGCGATTGATGGAGCATTGAGAAGACCCGGTAGATGTGATCATGAGTTTACTTTCCAATTATCTGGTTTGGATGCACGTGTTGAAATTCTAGATATTCATATAAGAAAATGGAAGCAACCACCTGTAAAAGAGTTGAAATTGGAGTTTGTTGCAAATTGTGTGGGGTATTGTGGGGCTGATTTGAAAGCTCTTTGTACTGAAGCTGCTATACGTGTTTTTCGTGAAAAATACCCTTAGGTTTACACCAGTGATGATAAGTTTTTGATAGATGTTGAATCTGTTGAGGCTGAAAAGAAGCGTTTTATGGAAGCCATGTCAGCAATTACACCTGCTGCACATAGAGGTTCGGTTGTACATTCTAGACCTTTTTCGCTAGTTGTATCGCCATGTCTACAAATTCATTTACAAAATGCCATGAGGTTTATATCTGATATCTTTCCTGTTCTTGAAATTTCATATGAATTGAGTAAATTTTCTATGGTTGTTTCCGGTTTTGCCCTTCCTCTTGTGTACAGACCCAGGCTTCTGTTGTGTGGGATTAAGGGTGTTGAGTTGGTAATTTTTGTCTTCGGTTTTGATATTTTTATTTTTTGTTATTATTTAAATGGTGGAATGATCCTTTTTTTTGTTTGATAGGATCATTTGGGACCTTCTATTCTACATGAACTGGAAAATTTTCCTGTTCATGCCCTTGGACTTTCATCTCTTTTATCTGATCTGAGTGCTAAGACACCAAAGGAAACTTTGGTTCAGGGAATATTAATTACACATATTCCGGCATATATCTTGTTGTGCAACTTGTATGCACATGGCACTCCATGTTACCATTGTATGTGTCAAAAACAGGGAAACACCCCACATGACAATGACAAAAAAAAACCCTTGTTGAATATATGCATAATATACATACATGATACATCTTTCTAACATCGCCACACACACATACATTATCCATTATAGAATACCCAAAATACCCCCTACTCTTTGTATATGTATGGTTATCTCATATCATATCTTGAGACTTTTTGTTGATTAAAGAAATTACAACTAACAATTTAAGATAAACAATGGTAACACATTTAAAACATAAAAAGATAGGGTCCTCCTCTAGAAAAACTAAAAAAGTTAGGGTCCCCGTCTAGAAAAACTTCCAAGTTGATTTTTGGTTACAAATCCTATCTTAAATAGTTACGTATAATTACCCTACACCATTGAACAACTTTTGTGGGGACTATTTTCAATAATGGCGATGAGGGCATTTATGTCTTTTTCACAAAAAGGAGATCAAGAGTTAATCTTTGTCCCACCTTTTTGAATTGTACAAAAAAATTGCATTTATTGTTCGATTGACATTGGTTCTAATATATGTCTAATGCATTCCAGATGTACTACAACTTCTTTTATTATGCCATGCATATTAATTACATACATTTCTTCATACATGCATAAGTGGTCCCAAATTGGTCGAATAGTTATGAAAGATGATCACACTTACCTTATCTTTTTCTAGTGATCTTGCCTAACCAAGTAACTAACAAGACAAATTAGAAATAGTTTTAAAAACGAAAAAAAAAAGGTAATCGGTTTTGTAGACATTATTTGTTGGGTTGCCTAAATTTGGGAACCTCTCACTTGACATGACACTTAATATATTAGAATCTTTCAATATTGTTACTGACAAATTATGCAATTAGTCTCTTTGGTTTGCCAAAACAAGCATAATAAGGACAATTATGATAGTCCCTATCTTTTTTTATTTTATTCTAGACTTTTATTCAATTAATTTATAATTTACTTTATTAAGAATTACATTTTTTATTTTGCAGTGGGCTGTCATGATAATTTTAGTCCTAGTTAATGGTGTAATTAATGGTGTAGAGGATCTCATATACAATCTGACGATTATTCTTCTGCAATCTGTAATTGTATTACATGAAGAAGAATATAAGTTGTGGAAAGGAATGAACTTAAATCTAAGTTGAATTTATGGAGCTTAACGGGTTAAGAGAGAAAACATGGCTTAATGTATTAGAACACTAACCCTTTACATATTTGCCCTTCTTTTTTCCACCCAACTCTTCTAATGTTGAAATTAATTTAAAATTTGAAAACTTGTTAACAGTTACTATTACGATTAGTATCTTATCTCTTGACACTTACTCTTTACTTGTGAATTTTTTTTTTTATTAACAATGCAGGTGACTTCTCGACCACACATGCTTCAAAGGACACAGGAGATGCAGGCGAGGGAAAAATTTTAAATATTGAAGCTCTGAGTTTATTTCTATTATATTAAAATTTTCTGTTATATTAAAATTTTTTTATCATGAGTTATTTGATTGAAAAGAGGACCAATGTGTGTTGCATATAACTAAAGTTTCAAACATAATATATATATATATATATATATATATATATATATATATATATATATATATATATATATATATATATATAAAATATGCTCTGCATTTTTTTTAGTAAATAACTTTTTTTTTGATGGTGTAGGTTGGTAATTTCAGAGTTGAGCTACCTGGGCTATTCCGTGGGCGGGGGAACATCCAAAGGTTTGAATGACAACTTTACCCCTTCATTGATGAATTTTTTAAACTTATTCATTGGAAAAGAAATTTATATAATTACAAATTTAATAGATGGGAAAGTTGAAAAAATAAATCCATCCAAGTGATATTATCGTAAACATCGGAAAGGATGCTCTAATTCCAGAATGTCCAATTCCTGGTGAAAGTTTTGTTTTTTTCCTACTAGATGCTATTATAATATGTGTTGTCACAGGCTGCAAGAGATGTTGGAGCCTTTAGAGAACCCAAGGACAAACTAGAGAAGTTAGTTGAAGAGCTGACATGGAGATTAGACTTTGAAAAGCATTTGAGGGTATATTTTTTTTATATTTCTTGTATCTAATTTGTTTGTAAGTTTTTGTTACAACTATTGATTTGTTTTATCTTTCCATGGCACGATTATTTGTATGACATTAAGTTTTATGCAATGGATTGTATTTTTTTGTATATGATATTTTATTTTCTATTATGAGACATGGCTTATGTGGAAGGACTACAGCACAGCCTGATAAGTGTTTCTCAATTGGTTGTGGAAACTGGGTTGAAGGTAAGCTTTGATGACAAAGGCTCTTAGATTATAGAGAAGGAAACGAAAACTGTTCTTTTGAAGTCTTCTAGGAAAGGTGAAATGTATCCTCTAAATTTAAACCCGATAAGAGGAAAACCTGTTGTCTACCTACTAACGAAAGCTCACTCCGATGAATGTTGGCTATGACATAGATGACTTTCGCACCTAAATTTCAAGGATCATTTATGTGCAGCATGTGAAATGAGGAAGCAATGTAGGAAAAGAAATCCAACTCGAGTAAACACGAAAATCATAGAATCTTTAGAACTTCTACACATAGACCTTTATGGACCTTATGCAATCGAAAGTGTCGGGGGTAGTAAGTATATTCTTGTTATAGTTGATGGTTTTTCATGTTTCACTTGGGTGTTCTTTCTTAAATAGAAATTTGAGGCAACTCCTACACTCAAGAGTTCTATAAAGAAAGTTTAGCTTCAACTGCGAAAGCTGGTTTGAAATTCGCAACGATAATGGGATGGAATTTAAAAATCAAGAGTTCGAAGGATTTCTGGCTGATAAAGGAGTCACACACAATTTTTCTACTCCTTAGACCCATAACAAAATGGCGTAGTTGAAAGACGAAACCGTTCTTTGTGTGAAGCTGCTCGAATAATGCTTACCTTCGCTTCGCTACCTTTGTATTTCTGGGCTGATCATATTGCAACTGCATGCTTTACCCAAAATAGGTCCATTCTGAACTAGCTATTCTCTCTTACTCCATATGAAATTATTAACAATCGCAAATCTAACGTTAAGTTTTTCCACGTATTTTGTTCCAGGTGTTTCATCTTTAATTCAAAAGAAATCCAGAACAATTTCGATGCAAAAGCTGATGAAGGTATACTTTTGGGGTATTCGCTGAATTCCAAGGCATTTAGGGTTCTCAACAAATGCTCAAAGAACATAGAAAAGACCTACTATGTCACATTTTATGATAACTATTTGAAGAAGATTCAGCAAAATGAAAATCTGACAAAGGAGATCTTTCCAAAACCAAGTCTAGTAACGGTTCCTATCTCAACTCTACATAATGAGTTTATGCTTCTCTTTGATGAACCAGAATAATCCATTTCCTATGAATATAAAGCAGCAGACGATAAAGAAGAAAAATTCAAGAAAAACATCGATGATGTTGTAAAAGATATGGAAAACAAACCTCCTAGTTCAAACGAACCTCCAAGTTCGAGTGAAACAACAAAATAAAACACACCATTGCAGGGGGAGGGGTCATCTTCATCTTCTAAACCTAATGTGCCTTTCGAAGGGGAGCATCCATCTCCAAGCATTACCCATGAACATCCAGTTGAAGGGGAGCACTCTAACCTGAGGTCGAAGAGTCATCATCATTCGAGTGGGAGAATAAAGAAGCGAATGATGATTTGGATGTACATTCTGAATTCGAAGAAATAAATCCTGAATTGAATCCTTCTTGTGATCCAAATTATACTCCACTAGCGAAATGGACCAGAGATCACCCAAAAGCTCAAGTCATAGGTGAATCGTCTGTAGGTGTCCTCACATGATCTGAGTTAAAAGCGAAGCAAAATGCATTATTCTCAAAGGTGGAATTTTTTATGCTCAACTCATTCATTTCTAAGGTCGAACCCAAAACCTTCAACACAGCTCTTGATCATTCTGATTGGGTGCAAGCAATGCAAGACGAACTCAATGAGTTTGAGCGAAACAAGGTATGGAGATTAATACCAACTCCACCATATGCATCAGTTGTTGGTTTAAAATAGGTGTTTCACAACAAGGTGGATAAAGAAGGTAATGTGATAAGAAATAAAGTGAGACTAGTAGTCAAGGGATATTGTCAGGAAGAAGGAATCGACTATGAAGAAACCTTCGCTCATATAGCAAGGTTAGAATCTATTCATATCCTTCTGGCATATGCATCACACAATAATTTTGAGGTGTTTCAAATGGACGTTAAGTGTTCTTTCTTGAATGGAGAATTGGAAGAGACTATATATGTCGAGCAACCACTGACTTCCGTGAACGAGAAATTTCCTAATCACTGCTACATTTTGGACAAAGCAGTTTATGGTCTAAAGGAAGTGCCTAGAGCCTGGTATGTAACCCTTACTCGCTTTCTTAAAATGTCAAAATTCAATCAAGGTTCGGTTGACCCAAAATTCTTTCGCAAGAAAGAGGGTGACCACCTAATGATCATCCAAATTTATGTTGATGACAACATCTTTGGTTCTACGTGTTGGATAAGGTGTCTAAGTCCATAACTATTTCAGGTAAATACTTGACTCGACCCGGCATGGTCCATTTGGGTTGCATGGCACCATGCAATTGGATAAACTAAATGAGAGAAATAACACATATGGTTTATTAATATATTATAAGTTCTAATATATTAATAATATTATTTAATTAGTTTGATCAAGAATTAATTTAGAATTAATTAAGTGATCAAAAGACAACTAATTAAATGTATGGATTGATTATGTAAATCATCCATAACTTATATAGCAGCCTAAGAGGCTCCATGGATAATCAAGATGGGTTATACCCATTGGATGGTCCATGGAGGCTCCATGGGAGTTACAAACCCATGGGTCATGGAAATGAAGAGTCATGACACA